GTAGCAGGCGGTTACAGTAATAAAAACAGGAGAGGAGGGGGATGAATTTTAATTATAGGGGTTCACCACAATGTCCAGACAGGAAATGAGATTCAAACTGCCCAGACAGGAAAAGGAATTCAAATTTTCCCGGGGCTTTTCCTGTGTGGCTGGTCAGAGCATCCGAGCCTTGACTGCTGTCCAGAGCGTCAACAGAGTGGTGCACTGTGGGATAGCTCCCGGAGCTATTAGCGTCGATTTCCATCCACACCTAGCCTAATTCGACATGGCCATGTCTAATTTAGCGCTACTCTCCTCGTCGGGGAGGAGTACAGAAGTCGAATTTAAGAGACCTCTATGTCGAACTAAATAGCTTCGCGGTGTGGACGGGTGCAGGGTTAATTCGATGTAACGGCGCTAACTTCGACATAAACACCTAGTGTAGACCAGGCCTTAGAAGCAACTAATCTCTGGACCTAATTCTCAGAGCACCAATTTAAGAGTCCACTTTCTGCATACCTGCAATCACTTCAGGGATAGCTATAGGGAGGAACTTGCAGCCCACATACTAGTTACAAGAAATTTCAAACACATCAGACTTATCCATTTTAGTTTACATGACTTAACTAATAGCCTTACAGGAAGTAAAATATGTCACTATCTAGGTCTGTATCGTTTTGAATCCTGGACAACATCCCGTGTGGTATCTTCGTAAATCAACTTGCCTAGAAAATGCAATTCTGAATTCATTGCACCCTCATAAACATTTCTTTTGTATGCTTGGCCTGAAGTTAAGGTAAAAAGTCTTGCTGTTTTAAAGGCTTTCCAAAAAGGGACCTATTCCCTCCTCTTTGTGTTTATTCTGTTAAGCTTAAATAAGGGGAGAAGTTTATAGGATCTTCTTTAGGTTAGGTTCCAAAGAGGATGGAGCTAGGCTGTTCTGTCATCTGCTACCATTGAGAACAAGGAGCAATGGTCTCAAGTTGCAGTGGAGGAGGTCTAGGTTGGATATTAAGAAAAACTGTTTCACTCAGAGGGTGGTGAAGCACTGGAATGGGTTGCCTAGGGAGGTGATGGAATCTCCATCCTTAGAGGTTTTTAAGGCCTGGCTTGACAAAGCCGTGGCTGGGATGATTTAGTTGGGGTTGGTCCTGCTTTGAGCCTAGGGTTGGCCTAGATGACCTCCTGATCTCTCTTCCAACCCTAATATTCTATGATTCTTAATAAACTCTCTTTGCTTTACTATCAGCTGCTAAAATTGTCATCTATGTCCATAATGATAAGCAATAATGTCTCTCCTTTCTCAGTGATCTTTGTTTTCTCTCCTTTTTTTAATCTTGTGTGCTCTTTTACTAGGTTGGATCTTTAGCACTATGTAGTTGCCGAGCATTGGGGACCCAGTGTTCTAGATAGTTTGTTCCAGCAATTTCAGGGAGCCTAATAAGTATTAACATTTTAGCTCTAATTTGATCTTTCCAGAATCTCCACTCAATGGTTATGTTTTTCTTTTTATGGAGTTGTATGAAGACTACTGGCTTGCTCTTTTTATTCCTTCTCAAGATGTTTTAGCAGAAGCTTCTGTTACTGGTTGCTGTGGGAGCTCCAAGCAGGGTGCTCCAAGTTTGTTACTCTGGAACTGTGACACAATGTTAAACTATACATTTGATCCCTGACTCAATGTCTCTGTGAGCAACTCTTTCAAGTGACAGGCCCACGCCTACACTTCTCTGAGGAGAATCCCTGGACTCATCCCATTCTTAGCCTGGGTCTCCAGGCTACAAACACCCCTGTTTACCAATCTTGTTACCTAGTGGGTCCAATTGGATTTGGCTCCTGCTAAAGACTTCCCTCAGGGAGCTGTGAACAGTATCAAAATGCAGTGGCAGAGAGTAGCTTGTTCGCTAAGTTCCTATAGATTTTTTTTTTTAAATAAAAACAAGCCTAAATACCCATTGTCTTAGCTAAGTTTAGCATTTTTCTCAAAACTTAGGTAGGCCCAGCTTAGCCTTTGTATAACAACTTCCCCTCCTTGCTCCCCAAACCCCCAATTCTCTTGTGGACCAAGTTAGTCTTTCTCCACAGACCCTGTGTCTGTGTCTCAAGGCTGCTATTTCTAGGACCTGGTCTACACTACACTGTTAGGTTGTCGTAAAGCAGCTTACATCGACCTAATTACATCAAAGTTTACACTACAGTCTTGTCCCACCAATGTAAGTACCCTACTACACAGATGACATAACTCCACCTCCACAAGAGGCTTACGTCCCTGTAGTTAGGGCCAGGCAGTGTCTGGGTGGACACAGTGTTACTTACACTGGCTGTTAACTCTCTTGTCAATTTCACAGCGCCAGTGGAGCAGTGAAATTGACAAGAAACCAAGCCGGGCAGCAAGAGCCCAGCTGCCCCCTGCTCCCATGGAGAGCTGGACGGCCTGAGTCCTCTTCTGGCAGGGAGCAGTGGGCAGCCCAAGCCTAGGAGGGTAATGTGGACATGCACCACCTGTAAGTCGACCTAATATAGGTCAACTTAATTTTTTAGTGTAGACATACCCTAACAATTCTCAAGTCCTTTGTTCCCATTTTCTTCCACCTTGATTCCTCCTTTCCTTGGAGTCACTAGAGAGACTTGATACTTGTACTATCTTTTGAATAAAGCCATTGTCTTTCTGCCCAGTGTAGCAGAAATTAACTCTTTGGTAGCAAACAATACAATAGTAATCAAACTAGATGAACACATGATTCATTAAAATATTCCAGGCAGCTCCCATGTTCTTCATGCCTTGATTCTAGGTTATAAAATTTGGCTTTTAAAGCAGCAACTGCAATGTGGATGCTGCTAATATTTGTATTAGTTTTTGACAATGTTTTGGAGAATGGGTGGCTGTGTCCTTTTGCTCCCTCTGCAGAGCTGGTTCTGTATAATGCTACAGGTAAAAACAGAAGTTCCATGGTCTTCTCCCTTGTTTTTGGTTTTGTTTTTTTAAATAATCACTGAGAAATGCTGCTTTTTGTTAGGCATTTCATAGTTGAGGCTTTGCTTAAGAGTCAACTTCTAACTATAAGCTTTTGTGAGTATCTTGCTGCTTCTCCTGGGAATTGACTCTTGTCAGCTTTGTATTCTTACTATCAAAACTTTGAATTTTGAAGTCTGAGTTCTCACGTCTGTTAAATACAGCTTGAAACTTTCTGTACCATGACCTGACTTTTCAGTTTAGTTTGTGAATCTAACTATTTTTGCAGAGAGGGCCACTGCTCTTTCAGGGATGGAAAGTGTGTGTTTGCCTGATTTCATAACTGCTCTGCTGGAGTCTACTCAATGGCTTTATCCTTAATTTTTCATTGTTAGTTTTGCTACAGTTTCTTGGAAACTTTCTCAGGGAGTCAGTTACCTAATATATGACACTCAAAATAAAGACTTGGAAACTTTAAATATATTGTAATTAAAAAATATAAATAACAAACTTTAGGTTTGAATACACAATTAACCTCTGCAATAGTGGCTTTATATAGTTCTTTCATGGTTTTCTATATGGATGTTTAAGTACCCATCAAATATAAATACCAAAATGGAAAACTTAGCATTATTTTTGTTTCCTCCATTAATGCTTTTGTGGGCTTTTGGCTATTTTGTGGCGAGGTGGGGGGCCTTTTTGTAAGGCGAGATATTATTTATTATACTTTTTTTTGGAAACAAGTCACTTGTGCTTGACTGCATTCTTTTCTTTTCTATGCTTGTTTCCTAATGTGCGAATACTGCAACACGTATAGCACCACAGAACTATGCAGGTACTATAACTTTCCTAGCTTTCAGCTAACTATATCTTCTCCATACCTCTAACTTACTCATTTGAATGTGTTTTTTTATTAATTGAATAGGTATCTTTATTTTTAATTTTTTTAACTTTTTGATTAAAATCTCTTCATCCCCTCTTTGAATTTAGGTAACATAATCCATGGATCAGGTGGGCAAGATGTGGAACAACTTCAAATACAGATGCCAGAATCTCTTCAATCATGAAGGTGGAAACCGAAATGAAAACATAGATGTAGACTCCACTCAATGTTCATCTGTTAAAGACAGAAGTATCCATGTACCCGATTTGGCTCCGCAGCAACCAAGCAGCCCTTTAAGAGAGAACATTGCCTTACAACTGGGTTTAAGTCCTTCAAAGAATTCAGTGAGGAGAAATCAGAATTGTGTCACTGACATCCCTCAGATTGTCGAAATAAGCATAGAGAAAGATAATGACTCGTGTGTTGCCACAGGAACGAGACTTGCACAAAGGGATTCCTACTCTCGGCATGCTCCTTGGGGTGGGAAGAAGAAACATTCCTGTTCTACTAAAACCCAGAGCTCCTTGGAGAATGATAAAAGATTTGGTCGAACACGAAGCGGCTTGCAAAGGCGGGAGCGAAGATACGGTGTGAGCTCTGTTCATGATATGGACAGCGTATCAAACAGGACTGTAGGCAGCCGTACTCTGCGACAGCGGCTTCAGGATACCGTTGGGTTATGTTTTCCCATGAGAACTTATAGCAAACAGTCCAAACCTCTCTTTTCTAATAAAAGAAAGATTCATCTCTCTGAATTAATGCTTGAGAAATGTCCTTTCCCTGCTGGATCTGATCTTGCCCAAAAGTGGCATCTGATTAAGCAACATACAGCTCCTGTGAGCCCTCATTCAACTTTTTTTGATACATTTGATCCTTCCTTGATTTCTGCAGAAGATGAAGAAGACCGACTTAGAGAGAGACGTAGGCTTAGTATTGAAGAAGGGGTTGACCCCCCTCCTAATGCCCAAATACATACTTTTGAAGCTACAGCACAGGTTAATCCATTATATAAACTGGGACCAAAGTTAGCCCCGGGTATGACTGAGCTGACTGGGGACAATAGTGCAACACTACAGGGAAACTGTGATTCTGAAGAGGACACAACAACCCTCTGCTTGCAGTCACGCAGGCAAAAGCAACGTCAGGTGTCTGGAGAGAGCCATGGCCATAGCAGCAGACAAGGGGCTTGGAAAGTACATACTCAGATTGATTACATACACTGCCTTGTGCCAGACTTACTTCAAATAACAGGTAACCCATGTTATTGGGGTGTGATGGACCGTTATGAGGCAGAGGCACTTCTGGAAGGCAAACCTGAAGGCACTTTTTTGCTCAGGGATTCTGCACAAGAGGACTACCTCTTCTCTGTGAGCTTCCGTCGTTACAACAGATCCCTCCATGCACGTATTGAGCAATGGAATCACAATTTTAGTTTTGATGCTCATGATCCCTGTGTATTTCACTCCTCCACTGTTACAGGACTTCTAGAACACTATAAAGACCCTAGCTCTTGCATGTTTTTTGAACCATTACTTACTGTATCTCTGAACAGGACTTTTCCTTTTAGTCTGCAGTATATCTGCCGGGCAGTAATCTGCAGGTGCACTACGTATGATGGAATTGATGGCCTCCCTTTACCATCAATGTTGCAAGACTTTCTAAAGGAATATCACTATAAACAAAAAGTCAGGGTGCGATGGTTGGAACGGGAACCTATTAAGACAAAGTAAATGGAATCTAGAGTCCCCAGTAGGCTTACTAGGTTATGCATATTTTTTTTGTGCATTAGTTTAACTTAGAAAGCACATCAGCTTTTTTGCAATACCGTATTTAAGCTTGATGTTTAGTATCATGTCAGATGCTGTCTGCTGTTACATAAATCAAGTTGTGATGCCTCTTGAAACAATAAGCAGAGACAAAGCGACGTGTTTTTCATTAAGATGTACGTAAAAATCATTTGCTAACTTCTAAATGTTTTCCTTTCCTTTTTTGTAGCTGTAGTAATTGGGTGAAGCAACTATGGGGCATTCCATCTAATGCTAAAGAACAAAAGTTAATGTTTTATTGGTTGAACATTTTAATGATTTGAGTAGTGTTTAAATTTTTTCAACAAAATCTTTCCTCCTTTGAAAAGTTTAATTATTCCTTTCAAACAAGTTTCCAAATGTTAATAAATTTAAAACATTTCAAAATGCAGTTTTTTTAGCAGCATGGGAAGCCTGTGTTCCATTAACAGTTTTTTGATGCTAAAAATCAATCACAGTTAGTACACCAGGTTTCCTAAAGATGAGGGCTTGAATGTGTCTGATCAGAAGTGGACTTCTATTTAAAACGTTCATGGGTTTAAGTGACATTATTAGCAAGATTAATACTATCTTGGACAGACAGTTAAATACCTGCTATTTACAATTTTTAAAAAATGAAAACTTGCTTAAATTCAATTGTTGCCATTAGTTAACCAGTCTGTAAACTTTGCTAAAAACTAAATATAAGAATTAGTGACCTGACAACTATCTGTCACAGTTGCAAATGATGATGAGGAGAAATGTTAATTTAAAACGCTATTTAACATTGTTTATGCTGAAAGTGTTCATAGCTGAATTACAACTTAAATACCAAGTATCAGAGGGGTAGCCGTGTTAGTCTGGATCTGTAAAAAGCAACAAAGAGTCCTGTGGCACCTTATAGACCAGTGGTCCCCAACCTTTTGAGCCACGGAGGACCGTGGCGGCAGATGAGCATCCACTGAAATGCCACCGACAAGCGGCAACGTCAATAGGTGTTGCCGCCAAATGGGCAGCATTTTGGCGATGATGCCTCTGGATGACGCTGCTTGTCGGTGGCATTTCGGCGGATGCTCGTCCGCCGGCTAGTACGCGAGCTCACTTAGACGCCCCAGCGGGTGCCATGGCGCCCGCAGGCACCAAGTTGGGGACACCTGTTCTAGCCTAACAGACATATTGGAGCATAAGCTTTCGTGGGTGAATACCCACTTCGTCAGACGCATGTGGTGGAAATTTCCAGAGGCAGGTATAAATATGCAGGCCAGAATCAGTCTGGAGATAATGAGGTCCAACTTAAATACTGTTTCTATAAAAAAAAAAAAAAAAGACTAATCTGCACTAAATAGCAGGTTTCAAAGGTACTATTCTTTTTATTTGTAAATAACATTTTTCCATTTAGCACCTTTTTGTGATATTTAGAATATGTGCTGATACCATTTGAACAGACTACTTGGAATTGAAATTCTAAGTTTGATTCCATTATTTAATATTGGATGGAAGTTTCTGATATTAAATAAGTGAATCAAACTTATTTAATCAAATAGTTTCCAACTGTTCTGTCCTTGACATTTTTGCACTAAAATTGTGTTGCAATCTCCAATCACCTTTTTAAATGTGTTTTGTACCACTTAAGTGCTCCCTAGTTTCTTTATCAGCTGCTACAGTATGTTGTTACTTCTCTATAGCAGTGACTGTGAGAGTTAGGAAATCTTTTGGCTGCAAATACAAGAAAATTTATTCTTGTATGCAACACTAACCCTTCTATCAGTGTATTTTTCTGCTTGCTGTGCCTTGTTATGGCTTTTTTGTGCTAATAAAGTACAGTATGTCCAGTGTTATACTTGTATATCTGATCTGTTTTATATTTGCATAGCTTCTCTTGTAGCAGTTAACTGAAATTTTTTAATAGCCTTTACCTAGTACATATTGTAGTTGATGCACAAGTACTGTGCAGTTAAATATTGGTTCATCTTTGACTCTGTTAGGATTCTGAAAAGTCACCTAACAATGTTTCTATAGTCACTGCAAAATAATAGACTGGCTGCAGTTCAAGTATTTACAACATAAAAGATAAGTGATAGAAAAACACTTTTTTTTCAAAAGTATTATTGATCCCCTGTAGTAGTAGTTGCAGATGCTGTCTCAGCCAATTATAGTTGATTACTAAATTAACTGAATATTTTGATATTCCTCGCTAAATCAGGAATAGCTATTGAGTGCTGCAAATTGACAGTACACCAGTATCGCCGAGACCACTTTTTGATAAACGCACATACATATAAAATGCCCCCAACATATTTTTACCAAAGAATGCTGTCAATGTCTTCATTTCTTCAGCAAAGTTAGGGTGGAGGATGTGATTTCTGTGGCATCAAATATTTATCCCCAACTAAGATTAAACCAAAGTATTTGAGAACTTCATCTGAACTTGTTTAAGTATTGTATGCAATTACGTTGATGGAGCATAAAAATTGTGTACAAGTAAGTTCATCATCGTTTTTGTGAATTGACAATGCACATGCAAATAGATAAGTAAATGATTAAAACAGTTTTGTAATGACTGAAAGAATGCTACGTAAAATCATATTGAAAGCAGTTAATTTGAAATACCCAGAAAGTACTTTAAAATGTGTTTTATGCTTGTGGAAAACTGATCCCATTATGCATTTTTTGTAGTAGCTAATATACTTTCATGTGTTAAACTTCAACTGTTAAAATGAAACTTTGTTTTGAACATGTAAATACTTCTCACTAAGGTTATGTAAGCATGTGTACAAATGTGCTAAGTCACTTACGTTCTGAGTCATGTGTATCAATGAATATGCAACTTCTGATTTAAAATCTGCTCTAAGGCTAGCTGCTTACATTAAACAAAAAATCACCAGCATGAAATTGCACCCAAGTGTACCTTCACTGTGTCTCTCTATATTCCCTCATTTGGATTTAGATTCCAGATGAGCTTACTTTATAGTTCTTGTAATAACAGAGTTCTAATGTTAAGTCCCATCCAAGTTTTGTTCCAAAATAGGGACCTGGTCTTTGCTTTATATCTACGGCAGTCTCTATATGCTGTGAATTTTAAAAACTAACATTGGAAAACTTGTTCTTATGTTCATGTAAACAGTTGTTAGTGCTACTTGTATGGAGACGATTTATTGTGCCCCTTCTCTCCCCACCCCCCAATAAATCGTATTAGAGTGAGGGTTTTTTTTAAAGTACAGAATGGTTTATTTTATTGGAAATAAATGGCAGAGTTGTTTCCAAACCTGAAGTTTGTAAAACAATCTTCAAAATTAAACTTGATTTTAAGATTTAACTATTAACAATGCTCTGAAAAGTAGTCATATGTTAAATTTTTCAGTAACATTGAGTTCCTTTATTTTCATTATAAAGGGGCAAAACATTTGATGCATTGAATGCTACAAAATTAGACTGACTTTGTAACTGACAAGTTAAATTAAAACGTAAGGATAAAAGTGCCTGCTTGATCTTTAACTTTCTGGATTTTGTTTTTATAACTTTTTAAAATTTCCCTCCTTAAAGATGTGCACAACCTACTTCTGTAACATTAAAGAACATCTTTCTTTAGGTAAATAACATACCCTGGCATAATTTCAGTCCTATTGGGCAGATATGTATTTGGGCCTCGATTCTATAAAAAGATCCTCACCTCTGAGACTTGTTAAAGGATTCATCCATGGGGTTTGCTTCTTAGGATCTTGGCCATAGTTGAAAAAGAACATGATAATGAAGCATTAGTGAAAATCTTTGAACATTTAAGAAGAATTCAGAGTGTGTGTAAAATATATTTGTCACACTTTTTCAATTATGTAACTTGGAATACTTTTAATGAGATTAGCATGTCTAACATTTGAGAGATGGAAATTTTATAGTGAACACCACAATGGGTTACATATATAGAATATATAACGTTTCTTATGAAAGATTGTTCCCTCTATGTTTAGCAACAATGTCTATTAAACAGAAATATATTAGCTGGCCTTCATGTTACACAGTGTCAACGGGTATGTCAGCACTGCACTAGACCCCCACAGCTGGCCTGTGCCAGCCAGTTCAGGCTGCAGGGCTATTTCACTGCTGTGTAGACTTCCAGGCTCAGGTTGGAGCCAAGTCTTGCAGGGTTCTAGAGCACAGGCTCCAGCCCGAGACGGGAAGTCCACACAACAGTGAAACAAAGCTGCAGCCTATGCCTGAGTCAGTTGGGATCGGCTAGCTGTATGTGTTTAGTGGCTGTGTAGACCTACCCAAAGCGGATAATTGCTTGCTGAATATCATTGCAATCAGAACTTTCATGTCAAAAATAGTATTTAAACAATTTTAATTGTTCCAGTGTTTAGATTACATATAACTTTCAGAGTGACTTTCCATGAAGAATTCCTGAAAATACTCTTCTTGTAGAAAATATGGGACAAAGTGCTTCTATCAGAAGAAACCCCTTTTAGAACTTTATTTTTTTTTAAAAGATGACTTGCTGATCATGTTTTGCATTAATGTGCTTTAAACTCCTGTCATGTATATTTGAAGTGTTCCTATTACATGTTTCATGATAACAGGTAATGTTGCATATTTTTATTGTTTGCTGCATTAAGTATTGAATTAAACATTTCAATGTTTCTTCCCATTTTTAGCAAATAACTAATGTGTTTACTTGACATCGTGTCATCTTTTTATTTAAATCAGTGGTCTCCAACCTTTTTACACCCAAGGTCATTTTTTGAATTTAAGGGCAACCCAGGATCTACCCTTCACTGAGGCCCCACCCCACTTTTACCCCCTCCTCCCCCACTCATGGGCTGGGGTATGGGATTGTGGTTTGGGAGGGGGTGTGGGCTCTGGACTGCAGCCAAAGGGTTCGCAGTATGGGAGGGGGCTCTGGGCTGAGCCTGGGCCAGGGAGTTGGGGTGCAAGAGGGGGTGAGGGGTGCAAACTCTGGGAGGGAGTTTGGGTGCAGGAGGGGGTTCCGGGCTGGTGCAGAGTGTTGGGGTGCAGGAGGGGTACGGGGGTGCTGGCTCTGGGAGTGGGGTCAGGGCTGGAGTTTGGGATGCAGGAGGGGGTTTGGGGTGCTCTCTGGCTCCCTGCCTGCCCCACGCTGCTCCCGGAAGGCGCCAATGCCCCTGGGGGGGGGGGGGGCAGGGTG